CAAGATACGTGATAGTTCTAGAAACAAGAGAGCGTGAGAATTGTCACGTGATCTCGATGACGCAACAATATCTAATCAAGAACACCTTAGGTGTGAAACAATAGTGTGTCCAAAAAAGGATTGAACATGAGACAAAAAAAATGAAATCAAAATTAGCGACCAAACTGTAGCTATACTTATAGCATTGATAAGAATTTAAAGGAAATATTCATTCATTAATCAGCAAGACCTCGTATTTTGTTTTAACCACCATCATGCCCCAAGTTGAACGAAAAACGCGCCCTGACTACCTAATAAATAAATATTTGCTGTAAAATTCTTATCAGTGCTATAATTGTAACTACAGTTTGGCCGCCAATTTTGATTTCATTCCTTTAAGTCGCATGCACAACCCTTTTTTGGCCATTTAATTTCTGTTGTGTATATATTGTTGTATAGAAGATATTTTAAAGTGATTAATCAGGTGAAAAACGAATTGATAGATAGATAAACCGACATGTGGCGCCATCTAGTGTACCTAAATTCATCTAGAAATTTTCATAAAAGTGATCCGAAAAACGGGGCTAACTCGGCAACCCGTGGCCCGATTTTAACGAAACTTGTTTTTTTCTGTTTCTATTCTCATTTCATTACAATTATGACGCTATTGTGCGCCGTTTTTGCTGTATTTAATTACAGACAAGTACACACACAAACAATCTCAGAGTTTTAGTAGTATATAGATAGATAAACTAATTTGTGATTGTTAATGAAGTGGATGTTGAATTATTTTCACCAGATAATTTAAAGAAACTGTAAACGAAAGAATTGTTTGTTTGTAGCTAAGTACTAAGTTACACAATGGGCTATCTGTTCTCCGCCCACCACGGATATCGAAAAATGGTTTCTAACGTTGTAAGTCCGCAACCATACCACTGTGCCACTGGGGGGTAAATGAAAGAAGAACATTACAACAATACTAATAGTAATTCGATTGGCTATTGGCGTCAAGTAGCATATGTAATTCAGTAGTCTTTCCTTAATCAGTGGAACACAGTCACAGTAATTTTCGTTTTGCTTGTGATGAACAAGATGAAGTAATTTTATGTACTTTTCTTTATAGGCCCTTTTGCAACTATAATTATCAAGGCAGTTGGCTGCCGGACAACAATTATTAGTGGGGCAGTTGGAATGACAATTGGATATATTATAAGCTCATTCGCAACGGGAGTAAACTATCTTATAGTTTCTCTAGGAATTTTTACAGGTTAGTAATAAATGGTCATATAAACACAAGCAGCAGAGAGTATGTCATTTATTTTTTATCACATGTACTCTTACAGAACAAAATCATTTAAATTCTTATATCTAAATATGTATTAAATTATTTGTAACTTTTTCACAAAGAAAACTATATAAAACTTTTAGTGATTAAAAATATATATATTTTTAAGTGGTAGAACATTTTCTAGCAACAATAATGAACATATGCAAATTAATTGTTTTTCTTATTAATGTTAGGTAGCTTTCACAGTAACTTGAAGTCTTCTTTTTTTCTGATCATAAAAAAAATGATTAAATGACAAGATTTTGATGTCTTAATATAAAGTTGTATTTGTATTATCATAATAATTTCTTTCATAAATTAAAAGAAATGAATATTTTTGTCTTTTCAGCTTCCTGCATTAGTCTGGTCTACAGTGGCTTCACAGTAGCTCTTGGTCTCTACTGTCATAAATACCATGGTATAAGTACTGGAATTGCCTTTTCTGGTGTTGGATTTGGAATATTTCTTTTTTCTCACATGTTACAGAATATTCTGGATGAATATGGATGGAGAGGAATGATGTTTATAGAGGCTGGCATGGCACTAAATGTTTGTGTTTGTGGAGCAATGATATTTCCACTTCCCTCAACTAGCAGCCAATCATCACAGTTTGTTGATGTTGGTAAGGAAACATCACTCATAGTTGTTGAAAATGTAACTGACGAAGCAAAAGTGCAGACATTTCTTAAAAAGATTTGTAATCATTCCAAATTCAGTAAACCTGTAGCTTTTGGAAGTGCTTTTCTTAGAGCAAATTTGCTCTTTGTTGATCCCAAATTTACGTGTTTCAACATAGCATGCACTTTTTGGATCATGGGAGTATTTGCACTTTATGTGATTTACAAAGACATTGCCATTTTCTTTGATCATGGGGATCAGTTTTCAACTGTTCTATCTTGTATGGGTATAGCAGACATCATTGGCAGGGTTTTAGTTGGGATCATATCCACAAATCCAAAGTGTCATACTGTAGTTTATTCAGTTGTATGCCATTTTGTAACAAGCATTGCAATAGCACTGCATATATTTGCTAAGCCATTTGAAGTCTTTTTATCTCTTGGAATTGTCTTCTCTTTTTGCTATGCCAAGCAGTGTGTTATACTTGCTCTAGCTCCAGCAGCAATGTATGGAAGGGAACGGTTAGCTGCTACATTTGGATGTTTGCTGTTTTTCTGTGGATGTGGAGCTCTCATCGGACCCCCTATAGGAGGTAAGCAACGAATATATTTATTTCTTTGCAAATAAATAAACATTTTATATTCCTTTATTTTTTAAGTATTATATTTCATTTAGGGAGGCTTATAGATACTTATGTCAATATTTTTATCTTTAAATTGTATAACAAAAAAGCAGAAAATTGGAAGTTTTGTTTTCGTTTCATTATAAATAAAGTTCCTTTTTTTTTCAGAAAAGTTTCACTTCACATAAGTGAAATATGTAGTAAATGTGTATTTGTAATGAAAAAGTAGAATGTCTGTTTTTCATGATTATATATCCTTATGCTGATAACTAGCTTCTTAGAGGTGAGGAAAGAATATTTTATATCATTTTTTGTTTAAATTACACAGAATTATTTTGAAGGCCCCAGGATATTGAGGACATGGAAAGAAAGTTAAATAATATGTATATTACTTATTTGTGGTATTAAGGGAAATGTTTAGAGATGGTCCCCTTTCCTTTCCTACATTCTTTTAAGATTGCTGGTTATCAAGTAAACATCAAGAGTGAGAGAATTTTTTGTCACAAATCCTTTATTGTAAATACATTAATAATAATTAGAATGTTAATACCAAGATTCTTAAAAACAAAGAGTATTTATTTTTGGAATTTCACAAATCAAACACAAGATAGTCACAATTAAAAACAATGAGCTCCTAATTTTAGAAACAATACATCTAAACTTTAAATATATCTTCTGACTCAACATTTTAACCTTGCCACAAGAAGTTAGGGAAAAAATCCCAGAAAAACAAACCTAACTTTAAAAGTCAAAAGAGGTAATTATCTCTATACAAGTCATTTGTTAAACCTCATTTGGAAAACTGTACACAATTTTGATCTACCTATCTAATAAAGTATATGGAATTACTGTAAATGGTTCAGAGGAGGGCTACTAGGATGATTTCAGGATGTAAGGGTTATTTTATAGGGATAAGTTAGGCTCTCTCAACTTAAAGAAAAGTAAGAAGTAATCTTATTAAAGTTTACAAGATTATCTGGGGGAATGACAGTCTAAAGGACTGATTTCCATACATTATATTTTAAAGATAATAAGACCAAAGGACACAAGTTTAAGATTTGGAAAGCCCAGGTTGGGCTACAGTTAAGACAGTTATTTTTTTTAAAATGTGCTTGGCATTTTGGAATATACAAATTGCCAAGGACAACTAGTGCAAACCTTCTGAATAAGTATAGTTCCCAACACTTTTAACCAAGTTCCAAGCAATATCCAATCTATTATCTACATCCTCAAGCATCTAGCATATCAATCATCAGTTCACTTTTCTTTTGTACTTTTATTTGCTATAAAACTAGTTATTAACTACTGATACAAAATTCTTACCAATCAAATACTGGTTAAATTAAATAACCTTATGACTTATTTTCCATGATATTCCATGATCTGTGATATCTTAAATGGGTTGTCTTGGCTATACTATTCTGCTTATGATTATATACAAAATAAAAAATTACTTAGCTGAAACAAGGCACAGAAAGGTTGCTTGAAAAGTGTGAGGTTTCATAGTAATAGGCATTTGCTGAAGTGCTATCAAAGAATTTAAGTGTGCCAGCTGTAACCAATGTGATCCCACGTATTTAGCAGTGGTGACTAGGTATATCAGCTACTTGAAATGGAGGAATATCAGGTCTTGTTATGTTTTGCCTATAATAATCAGTTATCAATCTGGTTACATGCTTGTAACCAGGTTGATAACTGATTATTTTCAGGTGAATCCTACAGACAACACTTTAATTATTAAAACTCCCTTTATGAGACTGTTTAACAGTAAAAACCATTTGTAATTTCCCATGTAAGTTATAAATTCTTATTACTGGCTAGCAGGTGTTCTAGCATGAAATAGATTAGTGTAAATGATTGCCCTCTAAAGTTCCACAACTTGGTAAACGTTTAGCATGAATTTTGTTACCTGGTAAATTTTAATAAACATCACAATAACATAACAACGATTAAATTATTTCTGTTTTATTTATAAGAAGAGCTACATCAAGCTACTTCTTACAAAATTTGATTTTTTGATAAGCATCAGTTACTACCTTACCTTGTGTTAATATATCAAAATGACATGCTACAAAAATCGTTAGCTGGCTTAGAAATCTTTAAGTTACAATTATTACTACAAAGTTAACTGCTTGACAAAACAAGTATTAAAAGAAATTCACGCACTTTAAAGTTAATTTTATCTGAGATTAAAAAAGAAAAAAGTTAAAAAGCTTGTTTATTTGTTTGAGCAATGCCACATTGGGCTGTTTGCTGTGTTTACTGCAGGGAATCAAACCCTGGATTTTAGCATTGAAGTCCATAGTCTTACTGCTGTACCACCAGGGGACAAGTTAAAAAGAGGAACCTATTGTTGTATCATTGCTCCTTTATTGGCAGGTTCTTTTAACTTTGGTGAAAGTAATTAACATTCAGTCTATTTAAAATATATAAGATGAGTTTATTTCCTCCTTTAACATTTCTACAGCTTTGAATACATTTATATTGTTGTAAGTTATTTGTAGGCCTCTGTCACAAATGATGTTAACTAATGCAAACTAATTAACTTAGTTGTACAAAGTAATTCAATAGCACAATAGCAAACACATTCAAATACTTCACTGACTGATTCAACTCTCTATCAAAAAAAAAAAAAAATTATCTTCTTAACTACATATTTCTAACTTGTATTTATAATCTAGCATTGAATGTGTTATAACACTTTCCTCCATATCCATAGAATTTCTAGATGTTCTAGGTATATTTTATTAAACCTTTTGATCTGAACATCATCATTTAAGACCTGCAGCTTCCTCTAACTAGCATTTAAATTATAACATCAAAAATATAGCTTATAACACTGCCCCTTCCTGAATTATTAAGTTCCTTCAACAATCCTAACAATATATAAAAGAAAAAAACTATATTAAACTGTCTGTTCCCTCAGTATTTTTGATGGTTCTCTTCTGAAGCCTATGGTGCATGGATGGGATGTTGTCTTGTCCCTAATTGTCACGTGGGGGGGGGGGGGGCTTTTCATGGGTAGGTAGTTGGGTGAATCCACTGAGAACTCCAACCTTGATGGTCTTCTGAAAGTAGTCTTGATAGAAACTCCAAGCTCCTCTGTTGGTTGAGATTCTGCTGACCTGTTCTTCTCTGGAGTTAACCAATTGGTTGTTCTCTCACCAATGTACTTCTAAAGACAGTCATAGTGGATGACCTTTGGCTTGGATCACCTCTTTTCCAAACACTTACTTAACTTTGGAGTTTGTCTTCTCTCACATTGATAACTTTTCAGCCATACCATCTCAACACAATGGAATCTAGTTTTATTAGCACTTACAGCATACCTACCATTTGCTTTATTACAAGCTAATTTAAGTACTTTTTCTGGATAAAGTCATGTATAAAATCTTTATTATTCACATCCAGGAGAGCTTCCAACTCCTCATAACATGCTGGAATATTTGGTTCCACTATGTCCTAGTTACATAGATGAAAAAATATTGCTATTAACTCTTGATATGAATAACTTCTTGGTAGTACAATGATCACTGTCTCTGATTTCACTGGGTGTTCAACCTCCAGTTTAGTACTTGCCATGAAGTGTGCAGGGATTTCCTAGTCATAGACTATTAAACTTTTTGAAACTAGTCTCACTTTACATCCATGTCACATAAAGTCAGTTCCAAGTATGCACTCTTCTTCAATGTCAGTTACCCACATGTAATGAAGTGTAAAGAAGTCTCTTACAGTAAAGGTAACTTTTAACTTTCCTCTCGCTGTAACCTTATGTTCACTTGCTGTACGCATCACTGGCTATTTTTTTCTTAATATCTGGAGGCAGGTTTATCACCATTCATTGCCAAATCAGATTAAGCTATTTTAACTGTGTGTCACTCAGCATACTGCAAGGTTTTCCATCAATAAGCCCATGAACTCATGGATGATTTTCCTCAAATGGTGAACTTCTTTTCTCATTCATCGTGAATGGAGTATTTTATGTTTAAATTCATACCTCATAAATCCAACTAATTCCTACTTTCTTGATGACTTGTTAGCTCTGTTTTGTTCTTTTTGTCTGGTTAGGCTCTATCTCCTTGACTTGATAACAGCTGTTGATTCTTTACAGTCTCAGCTGCAATGGCCAGTTTTCCCATAGTTATAAGAGATACATGCCCATACCCAACCCTAGGAGAAGGGAGTTTTAATTTGTGAAACCATGAAATTTAACAAGGAAAACAATTCTGGGAGCCATCTTAGCCCCTCAGTGGAACTCAGTGGCAAAACCCCGATGATAACACAGGGGCAAATCCCCAGAAGCTCCAGAGATTTGAGCCTTTTGGAAGGTACAACTACAGCTGTTTTTTGTTGGGTTTGTTACTTTCCAAGGAAGTGAATTTCATTAAATCATGTGATTGTTAGAATTTAAAAATCTGATCTTCGCCAATTGTCAAAATATAATGACTTTTAGTTATATTTCTTAATAGTATAAATATATACTATGTTGTTGTTGTTGGGCTTAGGATTCTTCTACAGTAGGTGTCTACGACTTGTTAGCAATAAATTAAATGATGAATAAACAGCAAGCACTTCACTTGTTTTCAAAATAATATATATAGTCAGAACAAATTAAGATATGTACAATAAATTCTTCAACACTATAGATATTAAGGAAATATTATAAATACTATATATGTGTGGTTCTCTCCTTCTTGTCAAATATCCACTTAGGCCTATTCGGTTACTTTAGAATTTCAGTTGACAAGCTGAACTATCTTCTCTACTTCTGTTGCATTAGTACTCTCTGTGATTCACTTACAATTGTGGTGTGAATTACCATAATTGTTTGGTCTTCTTTCTTTCGAAGATCCTCTGTTCCTTTTGTCAAAGTGCACTCAGGCTGATTCAATTACTTTAGAACCATAATTTGATGGAATAAAATTATGTTTCTTATCTTCTTTTCTACTGTTAGTTTTACTCTAAACTAT